CCCCCAAGCACCGCCAGGAGTAATTCCTGAGTGCAGAGCCAGAAGTAACCCCTGAGCATTGCTGGGTGTGACCCAAAAAGTAAAAAATAAATAAATAAAATTAAATAAATAAAATCTCATTTCTTATTTTTTTTTAAAGATGATTTGTTCAAAGTTTTTTTTTTGTTGTTCCTGAAATGGAAACGTGCTTACCTTGTATTGGATACCACTCAGAGGGGACAGGCACACGTACCCACCCTGCATGGGGTCCTGGACTGGACCGGACCCTGACACCTCAGGTCTCCCGAGCACCTCGGGGTGTGACCCGGTTTCCCCACCCCCAGTAATTATATGCTTTGTGATCTTTGTTACCAAGCAGTGTCTGGGACTGGGCTGGAAGCATCTAACCAGAGCGTGGGCACCATAGGGTGACAGCTTCATGGAAGAAGTCTCATCTTCCTGTTGTCAGCGTCGGGGCCGCGCCCGGTGGCACTCAAAGGCTCCCAGCTTGGCGCTTGGGGGCAGGGGCCACTGTGTGGTGCCAGCGATGGGCCCCAGGGCCTCCTGCATGTGAAGTGATTTTGTGGGGGTGCGAACATCCTAATGCCACTCTGTTGGTGGGGCAGTTTAGTGTCACCCCACTGGGCAAGAGTTCCTCCTGACCAAAGCATCGCGCTGTGGCACGTCACTGTACTTAACAATGCCCGCCCCCCACCCCGTAAGCCGTGCCTTGATTTGGGGGAACAAAAGGGGAATTGGGGCCCTCCCTGGCAGTGAGTGCATGGGGTGACTCCCAGCCCAGTGTTTGTGGGTGGGTCTCGGGGCTCCCCGAAGCACACACTTTGGCCCCTGGGGCCATCTCTCCAGATCCCCATCTGGATTTTCTTTTTCTCGGCAGTTTTCCCCTACGGCCTGTGGGCCTTGCACACCGGGAGTTTCCCCTGTGAGCTGCCCAGTTCTCTCGAGACAGACCCTTGTACAGCAGAGGGGCCCCCGCCCATACGATAGAAGCCCCCGGCCCCAGCCACCCGGACCCCCTGCCCCAGCCCCTCTGCCCGCCCTGGAGGTTTTCCTCGAAAGCCGGCCTGCAGGTTGGTTTCGGCGGAGCCTGGCCTCCAGCTGCCAGCGCCACTGCAGGCCAGATGTGCACGAGGTCAGGGCTTGGCAGCCAGAGGCCCAGGCCCGAGCTGCTCTCGGCCCAGCCTGCGTCTCCTGGCTCGGCTGGGAAGGAAGGGGGTGTTGTAAGGACACTGTGTTGGGGGCCGGGGCGGGCCAAGGGTGGCCGTCGCAGGCGCTGTTCGCGGAAGGTGGTGAGGGTTGGTCTGTGGACGGGCGGAGATGTCAGGGTGGGCCCGGTGCCAGGCCCCCACGGCCCCAGAGTTGTGGGCTTCCCATCTCCTCCCCGCCCCTTCACAGTGGAGGAAAGGGAGCTGCAAGTGACTCGTATCACGAGGTGGCCGCTTTGGCTAGAGTTGCCATGGCTGGTTCTCCTAAAGGCAGGGCCTGGTGTGTGCGGTGGTGATGTTGGATACCCGGGAGAGAACCCGCTGGTGGGGAACACAGGCTTCACATGCCGGAGGCCTGGGTTCAATCCCCCACACCCCAGGGACCTTCAGGAATGAAGCCCAAGCACAAGCAGGGAGTAGCGCCGAGCCTCGCTGGGTGTGGCCCCCCAACCAAATGTCAAGGGGTGGGGAGTCACTTTTCCACTGAGGTTGGTGCAGACAGGAAGCCTCCTTCTGTGAGTGTGGCCCCAGGGAGTCGGGGTGGGGTGGTGTCGCGTTTCCTCCTCTGCCCCTTGCTGAGGTCTGGGGTGAGAGGTGACCTTCTCGTCCCTTCGCCTCTGCTCTCCACGGCCACAAAGTGGCTTCTGTTTCCAGACCAGAAGTTTCTGGAGCAGCTGTGGAGTGTGCCCGGGTGCTTTTCAGCAGTCTCGTTCCTGGCCGCACCAGAGCCAGCATGGTGGCATCTGCGTTTCCCACTCTGCGTCTCCTCTACACATTGTCCGAGTGTCCACTGGTCCCTCCCAGGTCTGCCTGGCCTCCCTTGGGGGACTCAGGGTCAGGTTCACAGAACCCAGAGGATCAGTGGCCCTCGTGGCCGGGGGACCCAGGAATGCGTGGGTACCAGACTCGGAATTTGTTTTGTTTCAGGACCACACCTGGCGATGCTCAGGGGTTGCTCCTGGCGCTGCACTCAGGGATCCCCTGGTGAGACTCAGGGGAGCATAGAGGATGCTGGGGGTTGAACCCAGGTGGGCCATGTGCAAGGCCATCCAGCGCCCTACCCGCTGGACTCTCTCTCAGCCCCCAGACCCAGACTTGGGCCCCAGTAAGGCTTCCTGGAGGTCTGGGGAGTGAGGCATTGCTTGATGGCAAAGGGACAGCTCCTGCCAGACAAGATGGCCCATTCAGGCGGGGGCAGAAGGGACCCCCGCGGCCCCACCAGCTCTGTGGCCATGTGCCCGTGTCCTCCCGGCTGTGCCCCACCCCCACCCCCAACTCAGAGGGAGCCTGGAACACAGCAGGCCTCTGTTTTCCAAATGGCACACAACCCCGCTCCTCGGTGCCCCCTCCCCCTCCCCACGCCAGCCCTGCACCCAGACCCTGCTCCACCCCTCACACCTCCGCCATGGACAGGAAGCCGCAAGAACAGAACCATCGACTGAGCATCTTCTCGGCCGCTCACGCCGCCAGCACTTGTATCTGGGCCAGTTCCAAGCATTCACTTAATTGAAAAGATTGAGAAAAAAAAAAAATCCAGCACCCCTGGCAGACAGCCACGCCACTCTGTGTCATTTGTTCTGGCGCCCGAGCGGGGTGATTCCTCACACTGACTGGGGACCGGAAGGGACTGGCCCTGGGCCAGGAGCGTCCTGACGGGCCTGGGCACTCCCCATCATCAGAGGCTGGGGGGCCCCCCAGCAGGCTCCGCGCCCTCCCGCTAGGGGTCGAGCTTCTGGTCTTGTTGGGGCCCCCGTGCTTGGTTCTGCATAGCACACCCCCAGGGACCCCCTTCCCAGGTCAGACACCCCCTTCCCCCGCCCTTCCCACCCACTGCTTCTCCAGGAGTGAGCTTCACTGCATTCTTTTTTTTTTTCTCTTTCTTGGTTTTTGGGCCACACCCAGGAGTGCTCAGGGCTGATTCCTGGCCCTGTGTTCCGGGGTCACTCAGAAGGGGATCTCGTGGGGGTGTCGGGGATCAAAGCCAGGTTGGCCACGTGCAGGGCAAGCCCTCCACCCTCTGTTCTAGCACTCCAGCCCCTCACTGTGTTTTCTTTTATAAAAGTGATTCGCGGGCTAGAGTGGTAGTACAGCCAAGTAGGGCATTTGACTCGCAATGCAACCTATCTGGGTTCGATCCCCGGCATCCCATATGGTGTGCCAGGGATCAGATGCCACCAGGAGTGATCCCTGAGCACAGAGCCAGGAGTTAGCCCTGAGCACCGCCAGGTGTGTCGTCCTCTACCCCCCCCCCCCCAAAAAAAAAGAGAAATTCTGGGGCTGGATTGATAGCACAGCAGGGAGGGTGTTTGCTTTGCACAAGGCCGGCCTGGGTTTGATCCCTAGCATCCTCTGAGCCTACCAGGAGTGATCGCTGGGTGCAGAGCCAGGAGTAAGCCCTGCGCACTGCTGGGTGTGGCCCGAGAACCAAAATAAGAAGTAAAAGGAGAGAGAAATTCTGCGCTCCTCAGCAAATTTCTCAGGGGAGGGAGGGAGTGGCGGAGAGAAGCCTAGGGGTGTTGGGAAATGGAACAAAATGCGGGTGTTGCAATTCCAAAACGAGGCTGGGAAGGCTGCCCTACATAGGCCAGATGTTGGGCCGACAGCTGGCAGGGGACTCACGGTCTCCGCGGGGCGCGGCTGGATCATGTTTGCCGTTAGTCAGGCAGTGGCGTCCCGCCAGAGGCCTCTGCTCCCGCTGCTGCTGCGGCTCTGCCCTCCTCCTCTCCCCTCCACCCTGCGCGCCTCCCCCCTCCCTGCCGCTGCCGCCGTCTCGCCTTGGGAGTATTGCTTCCCCGTGCCCGAGAGGAGGGTGCTGCCACGGGAAGGGGGGGTGGGCCTGCAGACCCAGGATGCACAGCTTGCTTGTCCCAGGCCAGCAGTTGGCACTAAGAAGCAAGAGCGGCACCCAGATGCCACGTCACGTCCGGGGGCCTCTCCCAGCGTAGGAGCCAGGCAGCCTGGGGCCTGTGGACTGCGTGTCCAGAACTCCGAGCACTGTCAGCCAGAGCCAAGGGGGGGGGCGACGTGTAAGACAGTGGGGGCCGGGCTTTACGGGGCTCAGCACCTTGTGGTCTTCCCAACGCTGCCCTGGCTTTGGAGCCCACATGGGCCATGGCCTGGACAGTGGATTAATTGGGCTTTGATGGAATGTTCCCCGGGCCTGGGGACCTGGTGTGTGGGTTGCTGGACCTCAGTTTACCTGTCAAGAAAGGAGGAGGGGGGTCTCAGGACTGGCTGGGTTCTGTAGGCCCTTGGACGGGGGTGGGGGTGAGGAGTGCCCCAGGAATCTGCCCCCAGGTTTGATCCCAGCCTTCCTTGGTCCCCTGAGCATCGCCGGCTGCCACCCTGGAGGTCCCAAGCGCACGGGTGGTCTCTGGGAAGTTGGCTCATGTGGCCCCCGCCTCATGTGTTCACACCGCCTTTCTGGCCTCCCAGAGACCTTTCTGTACGCAGTTGGCTTTGACCAGGGTAAGACTTAGGGGCGCCTTCCCCTCAGAGTCAGAAAGCCTGGTGGAACCCTTATGTTCCCTCCGTGGCTGCTCAGAGCCTTTGGGGCCCGTGGCCTGCATCCTCCCACCTTCATAAAGCCAGTGGGTAAGGAGGAGGAGGAGGACAGAGAGGCAGGAGGGCTGGGCTGGAAGCCCCATCCCCCCGCGCTCGAGTCCTGTCCTCCTCTTAGAGAGCTTGTGTGAGCCCGGAGGGGCCGGTCCGGAGCCTTCGAGACCAGCAGCTCTTTTCTGCAGATGGAACGGTCCCCTTGGTGCTGACCCCTGTCCCCTCTGTCCCTCCCTCCAGGTCTACATCATCCGAGTCACGTGGTCCAGCGGCTCCACCGAGGCCATTTACCGGCGTTACAGCAAGTTCTTCGACCTCCAGGTAAGGCTGGGGGGCTTCCCGCGAGCTGCAGGGCAGAGCAGAGTCAGAGGGGACTGACTTGCCCCTTGGAGCCGAGTGCCAGCCCCTCATGCCCCCACCGTCGCCTGCTTCTTTAATTGCCTGGGTGGGCAGGGGCCATCTGTGCCTCACGGGAGCTGCGCAGCGTGGCTGTTGGCAGGATCTAGAGACGGACGTGGCCCCATCCGGGGATGGCGTCTGTATCTGGAGTGACCCAGGTGATTCTTTAAAAGTGTCCATCCCGGGGGCTGGAGCAATAGCACACCGGGTACTGCGTTTGCCTTGCACACGGCTGACCCGGGTTTGATTCCCAGCATCCCATATGGTCCCCTGAGCACCGCCAGGAGTGATTCCTGAGTCCAGAGCCAGGAGTAACCCCTGTGCATTGCCAGGTGTGACCCAAAAAGCGGGGGAAAAAAAAGTTTCCATCTGGGCCAGAGATTGCACAGCCCACCTGGGCTGGACCCCAACACTGCATAGGGTCCCACAAGCTCTGCCAGGAATGATTCTTTGAGCACAGATCGAGGAGTAAGCCCTGAGCACTGCCAGCTGTGTCCCCCTACCATACCGTAACCCCCCCAAAAAAAATCCCTTTGATGTGGGCTTCTCTGTTGCCGTTTGCTCTAACGCTGGGTTTTCTCCCGATGAAGGCAGGCTGCTTGCCGCCGGCAGCAGAGCGGAGCGCACCGGAGATGAAATCCTTCGGCTGCAGACGCGACCCTGCTCCAGCCTCTCTCTGTGCCTCCGCAGTTGCATTTGCGGCCGGCTCCATGGGTCAGGGGGCCTTCCGGCTCTGGGGGAAGACCCTCGCCTCCCCATTCCTCCGGTCTCTCTTTCCCCAAGAGCCCCCGTACATACTCAACCCTGAAGTGCCCCCCACCCAGCCCCCACCCCAGGTCTTGGCCGTGCCTCTCCTCTTTTGTGTCCCGGACCCACTGCATCCTCATCCTCCCTCTGCTGAATGGCGTGTTTGAGGACCTTGGATGTGGCAGTGTCTGGTGAGCTCACGAATGAGGCACCACCAGGAGCAGCACCTCCAGTCTCCTGAGGAGCCGAGCAGCATGTGGACAGTGAGGGCCGGGGAGATGGTGCAGTGGGTAGGGCTGCTCGCGCAGCATTGATCCCAGTGTCACATCGCTGGGGAGGGTCTTGGAGTCGCCCGAGTCCCCAGGTAATTCCTGGCACTGCAGAGCCCAGGCAGCACCACATCCTTGCAGTGAACCACTGTCTCAGTTTGCCGAAAAGCTCCAAGCATTGAGCCCCCCTGAGCACTCCTTGGGAGCCCCCTGTGACCCACTGCAGGGCCAGGAGATGACTGTCTTCCTGGTCCCTCTGCGTACCGGTTAGGATGCTTCAGGTGCAGGTGACAGCCACGCTCAACGTGGACTTAAATAAGCCAGTATGTTGTTTGGCTGGGGTCACTGAGCATCTGAGAGGAGGAGGAAGCCTTGTGGGCTTCAGGCACAGCTGGATCCAGGGGTTCCCATAGTGCTCACGCCCCCTCACCCAGCCCGCCGCTGCTGCTTCCACATTTCTGCTTCTGTGGTGTCGGTTTTATCTTCGGTTCCTGGGTAGGTGTCACCCCTGGCGGGAGTCGTAGAAGGCCCCTTCCCAGAAGCATTCAGTGTGGTTGAGGAAGGTGAGGGCCTGTCGTTTTATGACGGTCCCTGCTAGAGTTGAGGGTGGGGAGGTGGAACTGTGCCTACTCCTCCTGCCGACCCTGCAGGGGCCCCTGAACTGGCCATAGGGAGGCCTCCCTGATCTCGTGGCATTACGGCCACAGGCTGCCGGCCCAGCGGCCGCTGCCCGCTCCCACCTCCAGGCCCACTGCACAGGGGTTACTCCTGGTTCATGCACTCAGGAATTACTCCTGGCAGTGCTCGGGGGACCATATGGGGTGCTGGGAATCGAACCCACGTCAGCCGCGTGCAAGGCAAATGCCCTACCCGCTGTGCTATTACTCCAGCCCCTCCAGGCCCACTTTGGGTTCTTTGGGGTTGTTTTTTGGAGGGTGGGAGGGAGGGTGCTTTTTGGGCCTCACTTGGTGCTACTCAAGGCTACCTCTTCGCTCTGTGCTCAGGGATCACTCCTGGCAGTGCTCAGGGGACGATATGGGGTACCAGGCCAGCCGTGTGCAAGGCCAGTGCCCTCCCTGCTGTGCTGTTTCTCCTGCCCATACCAGGCCTTTGAGATGCAGGTTTTCAGCTGCAGGAGGGATGATTGGATGTCCAGGGCTCCTGGGCAGGAGAGGAGCTGCTGCAGGAGAGGGAGGGCTCAGTGGCCCTGTGTCCCCAAAGGCCTGTGTGTGTGAGTAGAGCTGTGGCCTTCTGACCCTCCACGCAGAGGTGACATCACAGGGGACGCTGGAGCCAAGCTTCGGTTCCTGAGATTCCCTGGCCAGCCCCTGCTGACTGCACCCTGGCATTCCTCGCGAGCTCCAAGTGAGCTTTCTGCTTCTCTGTGATCTCGATCTTGATCTTGGGGGGTGGGGTGCGGGTGCGCCCAGAGCCGCCCCAGCCCCCCTCCCCCCCGCAATCAGCAGCGTCTGCAGAGTCAGAGCCAGAGCAGGGCCAAGGCGGCCGCCTTTAAAGAGTCCCAGATGGGCGGCGACAGTGGGAAGCGGGAGGATTCCTGAGGGTCCCGCTCCTCCAGGAATGTGCCGCCTCCTGCCTCCTACCCCTCAGAGGGGTAGCCCCGGCCAGGACCCCTGCTGGCCTCAGCCAGCTGTTCCCAGGGACGGGCAAGGAGGCCCTGAAGATGGTGATCCCACCCGCCCTCCCGCCCTCCCTCTGTCCCCCCCGAAACGTGGCTTGGCCAAGTCTGGGGAGGGCCGTGCTCCTGCCAAGAGGAAGGTCAGCTGCCCGCTTGCCTCCGTAATGGAAAAGGCAGAGGACTTGGTCAGGAGCTTCGGGCCAGCCCCCCGGTGCTGTGCGGCCACGGGCACACCCCTTCTCCCCCGGGCAGGCCCAGCTTCCTCCGTGCAGGCAGCTTGCAGCCTTTCTGGAAGCGTGCCCAGTGACTGGGAACGCGTCTTCTCCCAGGGCCGCGGTGGTCTCTCGGGACAGAGCTGCCCCTTCCCCATCGTGAGCGGGGAGCGGCTCCGTTGGCAGGAGCGAGATCCTGTTGCTGCCAGCCGCCGGCCGCCTCTTCCCTCCCGCCTGGACAGTGGTGGTCAGGCCACTTAACTGCTTGGTTTTACTCACTGTGGGTTTATGTGTGTGTGTGTGTGTGTGTGTGTGTGTGTGCGTGTGTGCGCACGCACGCGCGTGTAAGCACGCATGTGTGTGTTATACCTAGCAGTGCTCAGAGACTCTGCTTCCTGCTCTATGATGTTGGGGTCCCAGGAGCCTCCCAGCCTGCAGAGCCTGCACCCCAACCCTTCGAGGTATCTCTCCAGCACCTTTGGTGGGGGGCGGTTTGGGGCACACCTGGCAGTGACGGGGGGACCATAGGATGCCAGGCCTCCCGATACAGCACGTGCACGTCAGGCCTGTGCGCCATCTCCTTGGCTGATGCACTGATTTGATTCTCAGGTAAACCCTGGTGAGACTGGCACCTGTCAGTGAAGAGGTGGGGGCTGGGGGGTGTTCAGAGAGGGGGTCCAGTAATAAGAGGCCCATGGGGCTGAGGAGGGGTGTAGTGAGGAGGTAGCTAGCCCAGGGGGTGGGCAGCAGGTTAAGTATGCCTTGGTCTCCCAGGGCACAGAGCCCAGAGGCATGGACACAGACCGGGGCACCGCACCCCCCATGGTACCCCACTGCATCTGGTGTGACGGACAGACCTCATCCCCCATGCCTTCCCGCCAGGCTGCAGCTGTGTGTACGGCCCCCCTTCTCCCGTCCTCCCCCAGCTCCCCAACTTCCTGCTCCTGTCCTTCTGGGGGTGGGGGTGACCCGTCCACGTCCAGTCTGCCGCTAACACAAACCACGTGCGGGCCCCGCGCCAGCTGCTACGGTGTTTTCCTTGGAGCGCCCATCTGCATTTCCTGCGTCGCCAGCCGACGGCTGCAAAGTGCTGAGGGTAGCTGCTTCCCCCGCCGACACCCACCCTCGGCCCCCACTCTGACGTGGCCACTCCACGTGGCTCCCTCTTCCTCCCCCCACCGATTCCCTTTCCCCCTTGCCCCAGTTCTGCTTCCTCTTGTGATGTCTGGAGGCCAGGGGAGCAGCAGCTTGGGGGTTCTGAGGATGTCCCTTGCGCCGTGACCCTCTGGCCGGTGCCGCAGATGGCCTGGGGCTGGGGGCTCGCACAGAGCATCTGAAACGGAGGCTTCTCAAAGCCTGGGAGCACCCTGACTGGTGGCAGTCATGAGCCCAGGGCTTCCACTCCGGCCTCTGGCCTCCCTGCTTGGCGGACATGATCTTCCAGGTGGCGTTTCCCTTGGTAGAACAGCCAAGACAATGACATCAGGACTGCAGAGGGAGCGCACGGGGCTGCACCGTCCTGGGTGTGTGCCCCAGAACTGTACTGCTGGTGAAGGTCAGGGAGTGCCCAGAGCACCCCTAAGGATGACCTCCGCCCCACCCAAAACAAATCACAGCCTCACAGACTATTAGAAATGGTTCTTGCTGGTGTGGCTATTGCCGTGCCCTAGGAATGTGAGTACTGGGGGTAGACCCACGCCTGGACAGAGGCTCGCCGTGGTCACTGGGTCCCAGCGCTGTGGTCCCCCACACTGCCGCAATCATCAGATCCCCATGCTGTGGTCCCTCACACCGTGCCTCGATCACTGGTCTCCGTGCTTGTTCCCCCATACCATCAGTAGTACTTAGCACAGCTAGGCCCAGGGGTGTTTCACATTCCTGGTCTTGCGGCTGGACACCCCCAGCAGAGCCCCAAATGCCCCCGGCCCGCTCTGTGCCTCTGTTCATACACATCTGTCCAGCAGGATTCTGGAAAAGTTTCTGGGAAGCTGAACAAAGGACAATTCCTCTGTATCACCGCACTGGCACAGCCAGGAGTAGCCTCGGGCTCTGCTGCGTGTGCTCTGAGCAGGGGGGGTGGGGGCGACCACAGTACTGGGGGTCAAGCCTGGGCCTCCTCCCTGCAAAGCCTGTGTGAGCCTGGAGCACCATCACCCCGCTCCCCCTCGTACCTTTAAGTGATGGAAGCAGTGGCTAATGTCTGTTTCTCCCTCCACCCCCTTAGATGCAGATGTTGGACAAGTTTCCCATGGAAGGAGGGCAGAAGGACCCCAAACAGCGGATCATTCCCTTCCTGCCAGGTGAGGGTGGGACCCCCCCACACCACTCCCAGACCTCTCGGCTCATCCTCCCTGGGGTATGACCTTGGATATAAGCTGGACCCCTGGTTGGAACGCTTCAAGTGTTCACCAGCCAGGTGACCTCACTCCGGGCTCAGCCCAACCCCCATGGGCCGTGGTGTCTCTGGTCTCTGGGTACACAAGGTGTCCCGGGGTCAGGAGCAGGTGCTTCTGGCCCTGGACATTGAATTCCACCCAGGCAGCTGCCGAAGCCGTCAGCCCGTTAGTCCCTTGGACGGCTGTGGCCCCTGGTCTGGGGCAGAGCCAAGTTGGGGGGGAGCAGGGCCCCTCTCTGGAGGATGGTGGGGGACACCGTGCTTCTGGCACTCAGGGATCTCTCCTGGTGGGGCTCAGGGGACCCTTTGGGGGGCTGGGGATCAGACTCGGGTTGGGCTTATGCAAGGACTTTTCCCCTTTCACCCCAGCCCGGCCAGAGTAAAACTAGCAGTTTTTAATGCAAGGTGGAAAGAGGGGAGCCCCCGCTCTTTCCTGCGTGCGAGGCCCAGCCAGCTGTGAAATAGCTTGGCGGGACAGGGCAGGGCCGGAGGCGAGCCTGGAAGCCTGTGTGCTTGCGTAACTCTCTCACCCCACCCCCCGGTCTGGCCCAGCCCGTTTCAGGGACCCCCCCCTCGTTTCTGCTCAGGGGATCCCCTTAGAACCCACTGTGACTTTGCAGTGTGACTTCCTCTGCAGTGTGACTTCCCAGCTGGACTCTGGGCTTTGCCTGGGGGGGTCCCGGGGTCCCCGGCGGCAGCGGGGGGATAGGAGGGTGGGTTTTCCGCCCAGACCGCCACATCAGCAGAAGCCTTGCTGGCCTCCCGGAGGCGGGGGAGGGCCCAGGCGATTTTCCATCCCGCCAGCCCAGCGCGGGGGAGGTCAGCTTGGCAGCGCCTGGGGTTGGAAAACCAAGAATTACAGTTTGGCCTTCCTCCACCGGGGAAAGCAGCCCGAACCGGCCTTCCCACTGAAGGAGGGCTCTTTGGCCGTCAGCCCCCTTCCAAGAAATAGTTCACCTCAGGCCAGAACAGGGGGGCAGCTATGCCCCGGGTTTCCCCCCCACGAGGGCCCTGGCCTCAGCAGTCCCTCCAGCTCTGCCCATCTCAGGAAATCCCACTGGGACCGGGGCTGGTGTTCAGCCACACAGAATAACATAGGATCACTCACCTTGCTTAAAGGCAAAAAGCTGGCCAGAGACCAGGACAGAGGTGTTCTAAAGACACCAGAACTTGCCAGTTCTACAAACCCATAAATATTTAGGGTCTGGGGAAGAGGTAAGCAGAAGACCCTGGGGCTGGAGAGATAGTACCGCGGGGAGGACCCTTGCCGACCTGGGTTCGATCCCTGGCACCCTATATGGTCTCCCTCCCTACACCCCCAGAGCACCGCCAGGAATGATCCCTGAGCTCAGAGCCAGGAGTAACCCCATAGCATTGCCAGGAGTGGCCCCCAAATCAAAACACCCCCCATCAGAACAGAAAACCTCTGTCTTCTGAACCCCACCCACCATCCCCAAACCAACACGCTGAACCCGGGACTGGTTGGTGCCTTTCTCTCCATTAGCGTGGTTGAGGAGGTGGGAAGGTTGACTCCTTGGTAGAATGAAAACCACCATTGTGCCCAGGGGGACAGCTCTGTGGGTCGAGTCTTGGGCCCTATCCTTGGTACCATAGGGTCTACTGAGCACTGAATTGGGAGTAGCCCCTGAGCACTGCCAGGTGTGACCCCCAATTTTTTAATTTAAAAAGAAAAAATAAACACTGTTATCAAGAAAGGAGGTTCTGAGCTGCAGCAGTAGGGTACTGGGTAGGGCGCTAGCTTGCCTTGTACACCGCCAATCTGGGTTTGATCCCTGGTACCACACATGGACTACTGAGTGCCATATGGATTGCTTTTAGCCTTTTCTGGTTGATCAGTGGGTGCACGTCTACCTGCTCTTGGCCCGGCTGAGAGTTGAAGCCAACCTGGGGGCAGGAGAGAGGGCTCACAGGGCTGGAGTTTGGGCTTTACCTGCCAAAGTCTGGGGTTCTGACCCTAGCACAGCATAGGAAGGAAGTCCTGAGCACTGCCAAAACCAAATAAAAATTCCCAGCTCAAGGACCCAGAGAGATTGTACAGCAGGTAGGTCATTTGCCTTGCACAGGGTTGACCCGAATTCAGTGCCCAGTACCCCAGATGGTCCTGAGCCCAGCCTAGTGTGATCCCTGAGCACTGAGCCAGGAGTAAGCCTTAAACACCCCTGGGTATGGCCCCAAAGCAAAACAATCCCGGCTCAGCCCAGAGAGATAGGGCAGTAGGCCAGGTACTTAACTTGCACGTGGCCGACCTGGGTTTGATCCCCAGCATCCAGAGTGCCCCCTGAGACCCACCAGGAGCGATCCCTGAGTGCAGAGTCAGAGCCCTGAGCACCAACCAGGCATAGCCCAGGCCCCACTCCACCCCAACCCAAACCCGATAATCCCAGCTCAGGCCAGGCTGCAGCACGAGCTTTGCACATTTGAGCCTCAGGTCCCGTCTCCAGGACCACAGAGTGGCTGGGGCACTGCTGCGAGTGACCCCCCACCCCAAACACTGAGCCCTCTCCGAAACCCACATCCTGCCAGGTATGGCCCCAAGATGAACCAAAAAAAAAAAAAGTAAGTAATCAAGTCACCTGGTTCCCGTGACATCCCTTTGATCCTGTCGTATCCTGTCGGCTCTGACTGGTCTCTCCCTCCTAGTCCCGCTCCCTGGGGTTGGCCTGCGGTGGCCGTAGTCTCAGCAGAACCATCCCTGCACGGTGCTGAGACGCTGCCCGCTCAGGTTCCTCTCCTCCGCCCGCCTGCTGGGGCTGAGCCAGGCGCTCTTGGAGCTCTCTGCCCCGCCAGCTTGGGGTGCTGGCCTTCCTGTGACTTCTTCCTTTTCCTTCTGTTTTGGGGTACCGGGGAATGAACCAAAGCTCATGTGTGCCAGGCATAAACTCTAGCTGCACCTCCAGCCCCAATACCTTTTTTTTGCACGTAGGAGCCTCAGGTCCAGTCTCCAGGACCACAGAGTGGCCGGGGCACTGCTGGGAGTGCCCCCCCCAAGCACTGAGCCCTCACTGAACCCCAACCCAGGCCCCTAGGGCCTCCTGGTGACTCTGTACAAGTCTGGCAGAGGGAAAACAAAGCATCCCCCACCCCATTGGCCCTCCTTGATGTCCATCTCTGATCTCCCCTCCCCCCTCCACGTACTGGTCCATCGGGAAGAGCAAGCCTGCTTTATCTTCATCTTCGGTCAGTGCCAGCCTCTCTGCATTGGCTTGAAACAGATCTCACCCTTCACCTCACAGCGTCCCGGGTCCTCCCGGCACCCTGTGTGTCATCACGCGTGTGCTTGCCTTTGCAAGTCTGGCCTGCACCCTCTGCCTACATGTTGTGTGGACAGGTCATGGTACCGTGTCCAGGGCTCAGCATGGCCCTGCTGAGAAGGAGACGTGTTTCCTCAGTGTTGGGTGAAACCCACAGCGGAATCGAGGTCCCAGAAGAGGGAAAAGCACAGAGGCACAAGAATATGGGGTGTCTGGACCCCAGGGGGGAAAGGACCTATCTCTCTGTCCACTCTCCTGCTAAGGCTGGACAGGGCCTTGGGGTACATGCATTGTGCAGGGATTTCTTTTCCAGACTCCATGCTTTGGTTTCAGCCTCCTCCAAAACCCACCCCCTGGGAACTGTTCCCTCCAGCCCTCTCACTGGAGCAGTGACCACAGGGCGTGCCTGTCTAGCTCACGTGCACATAGTAGCCACAAACGCTTCTCCGGGTCCAGGGAGCTCCTTCCAGCACCGTCCCAAGCTCTGTGCTCTCTTGTCTTCCACAGGCAAAATCCTTTTCCGCCGCAGCCACATCCGGGACGTGGCCGTCAAGCGCCTGATCCCCATCGATGAGTACTGCAAGGTGAGTCTGCGCGGCCCTTGGTGCCTGCCTTCCCTGCCAGCACCGCCGGCCCAGGACGTGTCGGTTGGTTCCCCTTCTCTTTCTTTCTGGATTTGAAGAGCCGCCAAGTTGGACACAGTGAGAACCAGCCTGGACCACCCCGCCTTGGGCACACTCCTTTCTGTGTCTCCTTTCTGTGTGCACCCAGTTCTGGGCTGATATCGTGCCCCAGAACGTGTTTTTTTTCTTTTGTTTTTGTGCCACGCCTGGCGGTACTCAGGGCTTACTCCAGGGATCACTCCTGGTGGGGCTCGGGGGCTCATGTGCGGTTCCAGGGATTGAACCGGGTTGGGCAAACGTCCTGCCTGCCGTGATGTCCTCCCAACCCATCACACACTATTTTATTTTCTATGGGAAAATATTTTCACGTATCATATGTTTAATAATGAGCTGACATCCAAGATCTTACAAAATCTCCAAGTACTCACAAAACTCAACAACAAAAACATAATTCCTCCCCCCAAAAATGGGAGAGATTGAACAGAAGATACACAGGTGGCCAATAGGTACATGTAATAGTGCTCATCATGACTGATTATTAGGAAAATGCTAATCAAAAGAACGAGGCATCGCCTCGCACTGAAAAGAAAACCCACAATTAAATGTGATGGAAACAGTGCTATCAGGGATTCTTTGAAAAAAAAAAAATCCTCCTTGACTGTTGGTAAGAATGGGATCTGATTTATCCTCTAACCATCATACACTGTTTCTGTTGTTCTTCCTCTTTCATTTTGAGATTGAATTATAAGAATGATCGCACGCCCCCGCCCCTGCTATTAAAAACATTCTCCCTGATGGGGCCAGAGTGATAATACAGCAGGTAAGGCACTTACCTCACAGGCGACCAGGCCAGGTTTGATCCCCAGCATCCCAAGTGTCCCCCCCAAGCACCACCGGGAGTAATCCCTGAGCATCGTCAGGTGTGGCCCAACCTCCCCCCACCCCCGACCGCCAAATTCTCTTTGAGTCTCCTTTTCATGGCTGAGTGTTATTCCACAGTGCACACGATGCCCGGAGAGGGGTCACTTGGTCAAACTGTGTTGGGTGATGTCTCCAGTATCCCAGACCCCTCTGGACCGGCTTTTTGGTTCCATTGTCAGCCCTCGTCCAGCCTTGTAGGGGTCTCTTAGCCACAGACTCTCCCGGCGACAGTGTAGCTGGGCCAGCAGCATTGCTGTGTCAGCATTGAACACATGCAGGAGTTTATGGTGGTCTGCCTCCCCCGTCCTCTAAACGTTACCGCGTAATAGCAACTTCCCTGGCACCTCCCCGCACCAGGGCTCTGGAGGATGTGCAGAATCGCTCCCGCTTCATAAAAGGAGCTGGGGCAGCCTGGATTGGGGGTGTCCAGGAGCTTCCCGGCACTGACCCACCGCGAGGATGTGGACAACGGAATGTGTTTTGTTGGTTGGAGACAGTGGTTAGAGAACTGGAAAGGACCATGTTTGTTGAAGCTTCTGTATCTTTCGTGTGTTTATTTCTCGTGACTAGCTGTTGGGATGGCCGGAGGGTGAAAACCGGCAGGAAGGCCTTAGAAGGGGGCGGTGGGGGGCAGGGGGGAAGGAGCCGAGCACAGATGTCTTTGCATCCCCAGCAGCGTGCGGTCCCCCCAGGCACCTCCGGGTATGGCAGAACGGGACAGAGTGGGACAAAGCCAGACACAGAGAGGGAGCAGCCAAGGCTGCCTTGCACACAGCAAGGCCCTCGCCACCTCCGTGCTCAGTGGGCGCGAACAAGGAAACAAAACAGAAATACGGATTGGAAGGGGAACGGAACATTGCCTTGGTTCACAAACATATCAAACCTCACCGTAGGAAAGCACAAGGGACGCATTTAAAATAAACCCCCCCCCCCCAAAAAAACCCGACTAGAATTGAGCCTACAGAACCTGCCAGAACTGCTTACTAAATGAAATTAGGAAGCTCCCTGGATACGAGACTTAGCATAGGGCCAGGGAGATGGCACAGTGGGTAGGGCGCTTGCCTCACACACGACCAACCTGGGCTCCATATCTGGCACCACCCCCAATAGGGGCCCCTGAGCCCACCAGGAATAATTCCTGAGTGCAGAGCCAGAAACAAGCCCTGAGCCCCCACACCAAAATAAGTAGCATTGTAGCACTGTCCTCCTGTTGTTCATCGATTTGCTCGAGCGGGCACCAGTAACGTCTCCATTGTGAGACTTGTTACTGTTTTTGGCATATCGAATACGCCACGGGGAGCTTGCCAGGCTTTACCGTGCGGGTGAGATACTGTTGGTGGCTTGCTGGACTCTTCGAGAGGGACAGAGGAATCGAACCCGGGTCGGCCGCGTAAATGAATGTATAGAAAGAGAGAGAACTGCTAACTGCTTGGGGAGGTCCTTTTTGGGGAGAGAGAGGACAGAAAGGGGCTGGAGCAGTAGCACAGCGGAGAGGGCGTTTGCCTTGCACCTGGCAGACCCGGCATCCCACATAGTCCCCCAAGCACCCCGCCAGGAGTAATTCCTGAGTGCAGAGCCAGGGATAACTGCTGAATACAAAAACAAAACAGAAGGAAAGGAAAACGGAAGAAAAGAAAGAGGCTGAGAAGGCGGGACACTCAGCCAGCAGCACTGCCCGGCTCCAAGGGAGCTCCCTGCAGCCCGCGCGGGAAGGGCCGCATCCTCCCCCGCTGCGGCACAGCCACCCCGGGGATGGCTTCACGTTACTGTGTGACCGACTAGCAAAGGCTCAGAGGGGTGTGGGAACAGGAGGTAACAGAGCGGTCCTGGAAGCTGGAGCTGTCTGGGCCCTTGTCCCCAACTTGCCACATCCGTGCAAAGGGCCTGTCTTCCTTGGGCGTCCGTTTCCCCGAAGCTATGCGCCGCCTCTGCCATTCCCACCCGGCCCCGTTCCCTTTCCCGCAGCAGTTCCAGAGCCTTCTCCAGACCTCGCCCACGCTTGAATCCGCAGACGAGGCGGTGGCGCGAGAAGCCTGAGCAGAGGGCGTCCCCAGCGCCCCGCGTGCCCCCGGCCTCACCCGCGGCTCTCTCTCGCAGGCCCTGATCCAGCTGCCCCCCTACATCTCTCAGTGTGACGAGGTGCTCCAGTTCTTTGAGACCAGACCCGAGGACCTGAACCCTCCCAAGGAGTGAGTTGGTTTGGGGACACCCCCCCTCCCCACCCCGGGCAGGGTGGCCTCCCCGCCAGCCCCAGCAGCCCCCAGGAGAAATCGGGAGGAAGCCAAGATGATCCGTGGGAGAGCGGAGGGTTGTGGCATCGGCGTGGAGCCCGCGGGCAGGGACTGGGCACTGGGGCAGGCTGGGATTTTACTCACTGGGTGGAGATGTTGGGGGGTGCAGAATCTTGATTCCTAATTGGGTATAAAGGTGCTGCCTCATCAGACTCACCCCCACCCTTCTTTCCTCTGCAGGGAGCATGTTGGGAAGAAGAAGACTGGTAAGAGTGTGTCCCACTGGGGGGCTGGGGAAGTGACCCAGAGGGGTAGAGTGCATGACTTCCATGTGCCGGCCCCGAGTTCCATCCCTGCCACCCCCTCCCCCCGTGCCCTTCCTCCCATGCCCCGGCCCATCCCAGCACCACATTGCCAGGCCCACAAGGCCAGCGCATCCTGTCAGATATCACTAGGAGTGGCCCCTTGGGGGTGTGGGGAGCGGGCCTGAGCACTGCTTGGGAAATCCGCTAAAAAAAGTATTTTTCTTTATTTGCTCCTTCTCACTCAGTATCTCAACTGAGCACCTGTGATGAAGCAATGCGGGTGGGTGTGTAGATGGAGGGAGGGAGGGATGGAGGGGGATGGATGGACAGGCAGGTGATGGACTGATGGATGGGTGTACAGAAGTGCAGTGGGTAGACGGATGAACAGATGGACATGGGTGGGCAGACGGATGAATGCCAGAGGGTGGAAGATGTGATGGACACATGGGGGGGGTGGATGGGTGGGTGGGTGGATGGATGGATGGATGGATGGATGGGTGGGTGGGTGGATGGATGGGTGAGTGGGTGGATGGATGGTGGATGGCTGGATGGTGGATGAATGCCAGAGGGTGGAAGATGTGATGGACACATGGGGGGGTGATGGATGGATGGGTGGGTGGGTGGATGGATGGATGGATGGATAGATAGATGGGTGGGTAGATGGACGGATGGGTGGGTGAGTAGGTGGATGGATGGATGGATGGATGGTGGATGAATGCCAGAGGGTGGAAGATGGGAGGATGAATGGACTGATGGACAGATGGTGGGTGGATGGATGGATGGATGGATGGATGGTGGACGGATGGATGGTGGAGAGATGGATGGATGTGTGGATGGACAGATTGCATGCATGAGTGTTTGTACTGTTGGCTGGAGGATGGATGGGTGTTTGGTTGATCTCCTACCCTATCTTTACAAAAAGTATTGGGTTGGCCTCATGCTACATCTCGAAATGGCGGAGTAGATAAAGGGACCAGGGATGTAGCTGAGCAGTCAAGCACTTGCCTTACATGTGTGAGACCCTGAGTTTGATCCTTGGTACCACAGAACCAAGAAAGATTGCCAGCTGGATATGACCCGATGAATGGACTTGTGGGGACCGGAGAGGCAGCGCCTTCCTCCGCCCGTGCTGGAGACAAGAGAATGTGGTCACTCAGAACAAAGCTTTCTGTCTTAGAATTTGGGAAGGGGTGAAACGGAGCGAGGAAAGGGGGCTGTGCGCAGAGGGGCGTGCCCACGTGTGGTGGGTTTTGGTGTGGCCCCCTACTCCAGCCGGGCGCTGACCACTGCTCTTCCAAACAGCCAGGCGCACTCACCGTCTCCCCAAGGCCCGCTGTCTTCCTTCTCTCCGTTTCCTGGGTAGCGTGACTTATGGCAGGAACGTCACAGAGGAAGAGAAGGTGGAAGTTTGGGTGCGCACAGAGGAAGAAGGAGCTCTCAGCGGCCCCGCTGATGGTGTGGGCTCTCCAGAGCCCGGCTCCTCCTTCCTGCCGCCCACCATCACTTCCTGTTTCTGCAGAGTCTTCCTGGGGACCTCACCTGGAACCGCCTTCAAAGCATCTAGAATTCCTTGGGACGAGAGATTTAGCCCAGGGTGTAGGGCTCTTGCCTTGCACATGGCCAATTGTATTCGATCCCCAGCATCTCTGAGCCCACCAGGGAGATCCCTGAGAGCACAGTACCAGGAGTACACCAAGAGCACCATCTGGTATGGTTCAAAGATGCCCCACTCCTCAAAAAAAAGTGCTCAGAATTCCAATACTTTGGTTCCTGGTCTCCAGGGTGTTTGTCGGGAGGTGGGGGAGGAGAAAGGTGGCCAGACAGTGGCCCCAGAATGGAGAAGGACGCCTCCTCCCATGAACAGTGTCGTCTGTGAGGTGGAGCAGCTGTCACTGCTCATGGGCCATGAAGCAAGACACGCTCAGTGCCGAGAGCAGCACCAGGTTGCAGCAGCAGGTTCTGAGTGAGGCATCAGCATCCCTGGCTGCTCTGACTACTCCCGTGACTTAGGTGTGTGCAAAACACGCAGTGCACCTTGTGGCAATTCCAACCTCCATGGCGTCCTGGATCAAAGCCCCAGGAATGGGGTCAGGGGCCGGACTGGCAGGACTTCATGGAACGCAGCCGGATCTCCAGACCCCTTCCCCACCATGCTCTCTGGCTAAATTGTTCCTGCCCGAAGCCGTGACCTCCTGCGAAAGCTGCAGAGTTCCTGGGTCCGGCAGGAAATAACATGTTTCCTTGAAAAGAGCAGAGGCCAGTCTGGGCCCAGCGCCCCGAGGTTTTCTTGGAGGGCGCAGGTGGGAGGGAGAGAGGAAACGGTCAGTTCTGTCTGGGAGGACAAAAGTGTCCCATCAGCACAAGCTTGATGAGGGGACTGGTCTGGCGGAGCCCGAGGCTCTAATTTGTGGTGACCCAGTGTGACATCACTTTCCGGCAATGATGGGGAACGGATTTATTTCTAGCTCAACTGGGTGGAAAATAGCATCTTTCTGTCTTGGACCCAGAGCCCCTGCTGGGAAGCGCCTTTTGCTTTACCTGCCCTTTGGCCGTGTCCTTTATGGTCGAAGCCGCCTTCTTGGGCTTGAAAGGGACTGTCGGTTGGTCCAAGTGCTGAGTTGCCGTGCCAGACCTTGGTGAAGGCCAAGTGCCCCGGCCAGCGCTGCGGCTGCAGATGGTGGCTAATGTGGTTCCCGGTGCTGCTCATCCCGCAGGGAACGGGCCTCCCGGTAGAACCTCATTTTTCCGACGACTCAGGAGCCTCGTGCTCGAGTTCCCCAGCCTTTTCTCGCGGGGATGCTCACTTGACTCAGCAGTTGGACATGTACCAAATCCAATGTTGCCAGGAGAGCGAATGTCTACGAGGCGGAAAACCCACTTTATCCTCCCTCTCTGGGCTCACATAGCAGCACCGAGGGCTTGAGCAATAGAGTCGAGGGTGGGGGGGAGTGCTGGAGCAATAGCACAGCGGGTAGGGCGTTTGCCTTGCACGTGGCCGACCCAGGTTCAATCCCCAGCATCCAAAATGGCCCCTCAAGCATCACTAGTTCCTGAGTGCAGAGCCAGGAGTAACCCCTGAGCGTCGCTGGGTGTGACCCCAAGAAACTGAAAAAGAGAGAGAGAAAGATTTATTGATTTTGTGGACACACCGGCAGTGCTTTGGACAAAATGGCAGGCTACCAAATGTAACCTCGGCAGAGTCTGGCAAACTCCCCGTGGCGTACCCAATATGCCAAATACCAGTAACAATGATGGGGCTCATTCTCCTAACCTCGAAAGAGCCTTGAATATGGCACTTTTAAAAAAATCTCAGGGCTAGGTTGAAGGAGACGTTACTGGGGCCTGCTCGAGGCAATCGACGAACAACAGGATGGTGACCGGCAGTGCTAAGGGCTTATTCCTGGCTCTGCTCAAGGATCACTACTGGCAGTGCTCAAGGCACCATTTAGAGTGCCAAGAATCCACCCGGGTTGGCTGCGTGCAAGGCACGTGCCTTCCACGTAGTCCTGTTGATCCAGCCCCTCTCCTGGGTCTCTTCTTGGAAGGCTACTAACCCCATCTGTCACAGAATTTCCGTTTTCATGGTCTCCTAAATCAAATGACCTCTCAACGAGGCCTTCAGTATCCCATTTGGGGGGCCCAAGCGTCCACTTTAGAACAGGTCACGGCAAATACAACATAACACAATGGAAACCTCGATAGGTTTCTGCCTATTGAGAATTACCGTATTGGCTCTTCTCAGAGTGATTCTAGGCCACTGGCACAGCTCAGGGGTTCTGCCTCCAGGACCGCATGCCCAGGTCCAAGGCCCAGCAGTACCAGAAGCAATACCATCCTCCCCTTGACTACCCACATCCCGAGCGCTGCCAGGTGTGCCCCAAAAGCAAAGAAAAAAATGACATTCCTGGGGCTGGAGAGATAGTGCGGTGGGAAGGGCACTTGCCTTGCACACTGCAGACCCGGGTTCAATCCCTGGCACCCCTCAGGCCCCCCAAGCACAGTCAGGTGTAAACCTTGAGCATTGATGGCTGTGGCCAAAAAACAAAAACATAATAAAAGAAAAGAAGAAATGGTATTCCTTCCCTAGTAGTATTTAGACTTCAAGCTTGCAGTTCCTGGAGTTTCTCTTCCTGCATGGGTGTTTCGGTGCTGTGGAGTCAGTGCATTCGAGAGCTTGACTGTCAGACTTGTAGGCGTCTCTACCTGACACCTCCAGGCCCAGTTTGAGACTCAGTTTGAGACTCCTGGTGGCACCAGTGAATGGGTTTTTGGCTCAGGTGCCCTGGGCTAGCAGGAGATAAATGACTGGGAGCTGGCTCTAGTCTATGAGATGGGCAGGGTGGGACCGAATATCCAGGCCAGTTGGGCTGACGGTGTGGAGGGCATGTAGCCTGTGATAGGCATCGACCTTCGGGACAGTCCCTGTCCAGCTTCTGTCACCATCTTCCCTCTTTCTCTGTGCGGAGCTGCCTTCTCCGCCCAGCCTGCAAGAGACTGGGTCTTCCTGGGGCCCTCCTGTGACCCTCTGCCCCCAGCCAGCCGGGGCAAATGGCCTGAGCCCTTAAGTCACAGCAATGCCCAGTTCTCATTTTCCACATTGAAAAATGCAAGGCGTTGTATGCTCTAACAAAGGGTTTCTGTGTTGATTCTGGACGCGGGAACGCGGGGGCGGGGAGAAGTGGGGTGCTGGGAATGCTGACAGTCAGCTTTCTGACTCAAGGTGCTGCTCCGGGCGCCCGGGAAGAAAGGACAAGGATTGAGGCACTTCCTTGAACGTGGTGACCTGGTTGGATTCCTGGCACTGCATTGGGTTCCCCTGTACCAGGCCTGATCCCTGAACACAGCTGTTGGTGGGGGAAGGGGGGGAAAAAAAAACGAGAAGCTAGAGCACTACAGCTGGGAGGGCGTTTGCGTTGCACACAGCTGACCTGGGTTCGATTCCCAGCATCCCATAGGGTCCCCCTGAGCACTGCCAGGAGTAACCCCTGAGCATCACCAGGTGCGACCCAGAAAGAAAAAGAAAGAAAAGAAGTTCTGCTGTGTAGCATTTGCCAGTGGTGAAGACGCTTCAGACCTATTCCAAGCCTCAGACAAGACGCCACCCAGCAGAACTGGGCGACACCCAGGTCAGCCCTCAGGGACACTGAGACACCGGAACGGGCATCATCTAGACTCTCCGTTGTGTCTGGAACCAGAGCGGATGCGTTCAATGAGGATGTGGAGAAAACCGACCTCAAATGAGCGGCTGTCCTCCCACTCGCAGCCTGAGGCCGTGCGACGTCTCAGTCCTGACCCTACGCTATACCAGGGGCCGCCATCCAGTAAAAAGAGCCTCACCTGGAGCACGGGCACCCCCTGCTGCTCCCTTCCTGCCTGCGGAATTCTCTGGAAGCTGTCACTGTTCTTAGAGGTGCCAATCCCTTCTTACTTAAACTGGCTTTCCACTGCAGAATTAAAAAAAAAAATCCAGAGCCAGAGAGAGAGAGAGTCCAGTGGGTCGGGCAGTTCCCCTGCACTCAGCTGGCCCTGAGCTCAATCCCAGCACTGCATATGGTTTCCCCAGAAGCCCCAGGAGGCACCCCTCAACTCAGAGCCAGAAGCAAACCCTGAGCACCAGCAGATGTGACCCAAAGCCCCCGCATGAAAAAATCCAGGGCTTAGAACGGCATTCTGGGAGTTAAGGAACTTGCCTTGTATGTGGCTGACCTCGGTGCTAACCCTTGCACTGCAAATAGTCTCCCGAGCTCTGCCAGGTATGGCCCCAACAGAAACAAACCCGGGCCGAGGTCCGAGCCCAGCAGACTGGGAACCGTGACTGCCCTGCCTGGAGGAGTCCTGTGGTCGCTGTCCACCGCAGACCCACTGACCTGTCTCCCCAGAGAGCCATGCAGGAGTCTGTCCTGCCACACCCCAGGTCCTCCACACCCCACTCTCTCCTCCCCACAGCTGCTGTCTCTCAGCTCTGCCTCGTCACCTTCAGTGAGGGCACAGCACCCCACTTCACGTAACATCCCTTCTCCCATCCCATTCTTTGTTTGTTTTGTCTTTTCTCTGGGGGCCACGGCCGGCGATGCTCAGGGCACACTCCTGGCTCTGCACTCAGGAATTCCTCCTGGCGGTGCCCCCGAGGCGGGGTCTAGAGCGTGATTGGTGACATCACGAATGAAGAGATGCGTGGGTTGGGTCGCGGGAGAGGCCATCGGTGCTGCCGGACATTGGAGTCAGACGGTGGGTGGTGGGTCGGCGCTTGTGTGGTTGCACGGGGGTGAAGGAGGGCCCAGGGGGTGCGTCTGGAGAGGATGAATGAGGATGTGTCTTCACTGTTCCACTGTTCCAGAGTGTCGGCAGGACTGGTCACCGTTTGGCAATCTGCTTTAGCCCCAGCTCCTGCACCGGGTGGCCGCTGAGTTGATCTTGGCAAATGAGAGTGGACGGGATGGTGCTGGGGACATGTCCGGGAGTAATTCTGTGCTGTCCCCCTGGCTCCTGCTCACTCATTCCTTGGGTAGAGGTCAGAGGTGACCGCTAGCGGTTCTGTGCCCACAGGGGGCGACTTGGCCTCGGTGGACCCCCTGGTGCTGGAGCAGTATGTGGTGGTGGCCGACTACCAGAAGCAGGAGAGCTCGGAGATCAGCCTCAGCGTGGGGCAGACAGTGGACATCATCGAGAAGAACGAGTCAGGTAGGGGGTCGGGGCCACGTCCACTCCTCGGACAGGGCGCGTGCGGGTGGGCTGGCCAGGCAGTGCCGCGGGGAGTCCATCTGCGTGGGATCCCTAGGCCCCTGGCCTGCGTCTGTCTTCTCTGAGACAGAGCCCTGTGCCACTTGTCATCTCCCGTGCCCCTCGAGAGGACCCTGGGCCCACCGCGGGACCCACGCCCCGTGTCCCCTTTGCTTTGTCACTGAGCACACCACCAGATTCTGGGTTAGGACGCAGGCATCTCTGTCTCGTCAGTCTTCCTGCTACCCCAGGCCCTTTTCTCTACACGGAGGGGGAGTGGGGTGGGCAGCATCTGGGGGAAAAGCCCCTCCGACACTTCCATCCACACCCAAATTTGGCTGGGGTGATGATGCAAGATCCAGGTCTCAGGAGAGGGAGGCCGGCCTGCGTGGTTCAGCCCAGACAGCCCCGACAGCTCTGCCCGAGCTCTTAGGGTCTCCTGGCTCGAAGTGCTTGTTTTTCCTATCTGTGAGAAGGGGTGGATTGCTGCAGATTCTCTCTTTTTAAAAAAAAACTTTTGGCGTGGAGTGATAGTCCAGCGGGGAGGGCGTTCGCCTTGCAGTGACTGACCTGGGTTCAATTCCCGGCATCCCATATGGTCCCCTGAGCACCACCAGGGGTGATTCCTGAGTGCAGAGCCAGGAGTAACCCCTGTGCATCACCAGGTGTGACCCCAACAGCAAAAAATAAAAAATAAATAAAAATTTTTAAATTTAATTTCTTTTGGTTTGGGGGGACCATACCCAGCTGTGCTCAAGGCTTACTCCTGTGGCCCTGTACTCAGGATCGCTCCTGGCAATGCTCAGAGGACCCTCTTGGGTGCTGGAGATTGGGCCAGTTTGGCCGTGTGCAGAGCAGACGCCCTCCCCGCTGCCCCACCGCCTCAGCCCCAGCTGTCAAGGCTCTCAGGCCAAGCAAGTGTGGTGTGAGGTTCATACCAGGGCACTGTGCCCCTCAGTGATCCTACAACACATATGTGACCGAGGCCCCGCTGTCCGGACCTGGGTGCCAGGACACGTCTGGGCATCTGCACACATGTGGCAGCCCCCTCGGTGTGCTCAGCCGCATGTCCCCTCTCCCTCCAGGATACATGAGTGCAGGGTGTGCGCTCCCTTTTCTCTCCATCGCGGGCCGGGGAGTCCCAGCAGGGCTGTGAGGCTCGGCCCCTGCTTCTCGGTGGCCCCAGGGACCTGAACCTGTTGATTCACGCTGGCAGGGCTGCTGGGCAGGTGCCCAGAGCCAGTGCTCCACCCCTCTGGGCCCGGGAGCGGTGCCTGGCCTCTCCTTCCGGGTTGCCTGTCGCCACCCCAGGCTGGGTTCTCTGTGTGCCCGCCCGCCCCGTCCAGGCAGCTGGGGGCCAGGTGGCCGCTGGAGGGCAGGTGTCCACCAACGAGGCCACCTTAGCAGCCCCAGCTGACCACCCGCACTCTTGGTTTCCCAGGTTGGTGGTTCGTCAGCACGGCCGAAGAACAAGGCTGGGTGCCCGCCACCTGTCTGGAGGGGCAGGACGGGGTGCAGGATGAGTTTTCCCTACAGCCGGAAGAAGGTAGGCCGGGCCTGTCAGCGCCAGCTGTGCCCTTCTCGGGTCTGGTCATGTAGTTCTGGGCCCCACCGTGCTGCGTCTAATCTCGGGGCTGCCCGGGTCGGCCGCTGGAGACTGTCCACCCTCTCCAAGGACCTTTGGTTTGGGCCTGGAGGGGAGTGTTGGGGCCATAGCTGCTGGCGCTCAGGACTTACTCTTGGCAGTGCTTGGGGGGACTCTTTGTGGTATCGGGAATCAAACCAGGCTTGGCTGTCCGCAAGGTAAGCACCTTACCTCCTGAGCTCTCTCTTCAACCCCACCTAAGGGACCTTTGGAAGCGAAGCAGGGCCAGACACACACACACACACACACACGTGCGCGCGCACACACACACACACACACACACACACACATGGTCCCCAGAAGCTCCCTCTGCCCCCTCCCGGGCACTGCCTCCTTGGCGTCATTCAGGGACCAAGATCCAGCGCAACTTCCGGCTCATCTGCAGCCTGGAGCTGCGTATTGAGATTCTGTTTGTTCTGCCGGTTTCACGGCCCTAGGGTTAGGATGATTCCCCCCCACCCCACCCCCATGCACCACACATGTGGGATGACCCCATCATTGCAGTACACTCTTGGCATGACCCTGTCCATGCCCACACATTTACAGTGACCCCCTCCGTGCACCACACAGGCTTCAGCTCCCAAGAACTCGCCCTGCGCTCCCCACTGTACCATCTCTCCGGCCCCTGCTACCCAACTGTACCATCTGTGTGGCCCCGGCTTATTTTTTCATTATTATAGGTATTCAGTGGGATAGTTCCTATAACCCCGTGGCCAGCCACCTCCGTCTGGTAGCAAGCCGTCAGTTCCTCTCCTAGAGCCGTGCCCCTGAGTGCTGGGGCCTTCTCCGTGTGGGTTTCTCCAGGGTGATGCCAGCCAGAAAGCGCAGGGGACTGTGTGTCGGGTGCAGGCGTGGCCAGTGCTCCTCGGAGCAGAATATCAGGAGCTCCATAGAAACGCTGTGCCTCCCCTGCTCGTTCCTGGGGACCCCTGGGGATGCGTCTTACAGCCGAGGCAGCAGGCTCAGTGGGGGCGGAACCCCGTTTCCCTGGGGGTTGGCTCCTTCCCCATCCCCATCGCCTGCCCCCAGCTGCCCCTTTCCTAAGTTCAAGATAATCCTCCCGGGCGTTGGGCCTTTGGAGGACACATGGGGTTGGTATAGGGTCTTGGACAGGCTTGGGGACTCTGGACGGTTCTCTTCTCACCGCTGTCTTCTGTCCTTCACCTCCACATGCTGCCCGCTAGTGTCGTGGAGGTACTGGTCTCTGCCCCAGCCTGTGAGCCGCCGCCGGACGCTGGGGGACTTGTACGCCGTCAGCTGGCGTCCAGGTGCCGCTGACCGTGGGGCGTGGCTGCTCGCTGCATCTGCATGTCCCTGCCGCCTGCCCCCCCTGCCTGTTGCATGCTCCTCTGCTGGCATGCGGGTGTGGGAGGAGGGACCCTGGGCTGGGCGGGGCCTCAGGCAGGGAAGGAGGCCTGAGGGCTGCTGCCAGGGTCCGAGTCACTCACCGGCACCTTGGAGTTTCATGCGGGAGAAAACCTTACGCGGGAAGGGGGGGCATCTCGGTTCCTCTCCCCGCGAGGCCCGGGCTAGGCTGGCCGTGTGGCTGGACCCAGGGCTGGAGACGGCCGTCCCCTTTCCCAGCTCGCTGCCTTCTCGGGGTGACGACCACTTAGGGCACCCTTCACGGTGCCATTCCCAGCACCTGTTGTGACTAGCCCACTCAGGTCCTGCACCTTCCTGGAAGCAGCCACAGTGTCACTTTGGCCAGACCATGTGGACGGAAGCTGGCAGTGCCCCCCCTACCCCCCGCTCTCCCCAGTAGAGGCAGGTGGCGTCCACCGTGGCACCTACAAGGTCCCCTCCAATCTTAGGCTTGACATCACTGGGTGTCCCTTGGGGACCAGAAAGTGCCCCCAGGGGCTAGAAGACCCCCAGCTCCACCCCACCATCAGCTTTCATCCCAGGCATGTGGGAGGCAGCGTGCACCCTGTCCCACGGGACCAAATAGACCCTTTCTGCATCACTGGCCACCCCACCCTGCTGCTGCCTCCCAGAGATAGGGAACTGCTCGGTACCTGGTACCCTGACATCGGCCCAGGCCCTGCCCCTCCCCCACTGCTCTCTGCACCCCCGGGCCTGCCCCCAGTACCCCCCACCCGAAGGACCTCCAGCCTCTTTTACCCGTCTTCACAGCCAGAGCCAGTGGGGTGAGGCAGCGAGCTGCAGGCTTGTCCCCCCAGCATGACCAGAGGGGACCCAGGAGCTGTGGACGGGACTCAGCAGGAGGCCCCTCGCTGGGTGGGTGGGAGGGTCATCTGGATGCTTCCTCTGGGGCTCTGGGAGCAAGGGAGGAGGAACCCCGGGGCTGTGGTGTAGAAGGTTCCCCGAGACACGCATGCAGACAGGCTTCAGGTGCAGCCGGGTCCAGGGGCTGGGAAGTAGCTAAGGGAAAACAGCAGGGGGCGGGGCAGCAGCTGCCCGTGTCCCCCCACAGGGGCCGGTTTCCACCTGAATCAGGCTCCACGCCGACTGTCCTGAGCTTCAGAGGAGCCCTGGGGTGGGGGGACGGGATTAAGCAGCCCCTTTGGTGGGAGCAGAGGGTTTCTGCCCCTCCGTCAGGGCTGCTCCTACGCTAAACACTGGACAGTCCCCGCACAGGCCTGGTGCTGGAGGTGGGCAAATGAATGAATGAATGAATGAATGGGTGAGCGAGTGAGACAGACTAGGGGTCCCCAGATGTGACCTGAGAGAGGATCAGTGTGTGTGTGTCCAGGAGGGATTGCAGAGGGAACAGGACATGCCATTGTCCACTCTCCTTGGTTCAGGCACACAGGGTCGCCTGAAGCAACCCGAGGGCCTGCTGGCCACCCAGAACTTCTGCAGGGGGCCAGGGCTGCTCATGGCTCTCAGTCTTGGCCCTCATCAGCAACCCGGGGTTCTCAGTGCCCTTCCCTTCCCCCCCCCCCCCCCCCCCCCCGCAGAGGAGAAGTACACTGTCATCTACCCGTACACGGCACGTGACCAGGACGAGATAAACCTGGAGAGAGGGGCTGTGGTGGAGGTCATCCAGAAAAACCTGGAAGGCTGGTGGAAAATCAGGTACGCACTGCAGGGGGTGGGGCTCAGGTCCAGTGTGGTCCAGCTGCACCACGGCCCGTGAGTGGCTCAGAGGGAGTAAGGTTTCTGCCAGAGACAGTAAAAAAATGCTTCTCCCCACACGTTAGTCTGTCTGGCTCCTCTCCCTATCCAGATCATTCTCACATTTCACCTTTTGTAAAAACCTGCGAGCAGGGGCTAGAGAGAACACAGCGGGTTGGGCGTTTGCCTTGCATGCGGCTGACCCAGGTTCAAATCCCAGCATCCCATATGGTCCCCTGAGCACCACCAGGAGTAACTTCTGAGTGCAGAGCCAGGAGTAACCCCTGAGCATCACCAGGTGTCATGCCAAAAAAGCCCCCCCCCCCAAAAAAAAAAAAAAAAAAAAACAACAACTACAAAAAAAACCCTCCGAGTAGACAGTAAGACAGATCACAGGGATGGAACCACTCAGCAACTCCCCCTTCTCTCAGGGAGCAAAGAACTGGAGGCAGGACTGGGGGTAGTATTTTAGGGCTCTCATGCAGGGGCGCCATGTGGGTGGCGACTCAGAGACCCACTTACAGATGCTGTCTGAGCGTCTCCGCCTCTGCTAGACCCCCCCTTGAGGATGGCAGCCTGGCCTCTTCCCAGCTGTAGAAAGTCACAGAATCTGGGGCTAGAGTGATGAGGTACAGCGGGTAGGGCACTTGCCTTGAATGAGGCCCACCGGGGTGGAACCCCATGTGGTCCCCTGAGCACAGAGCCAGGAGTAGACCCTGAGCATTCCCCCTCTAAAATACAACAAACGTTCCAGAGTCCTCCCCCCTGCCCGCCCCCATCAGCCTAAGAGCCAGGCTCTGGCGACAGGAAACGGGGGCAGGAGAGAAGCCCCCGGGTCAGGCTGCATCCATCCGCCTCCTTCTGCCTTCCTCTCGCAGGTACCAGGGCAAGGAGGGCTGGGCCCCGGCCTCCTACCTGAAGAAGAGCAGCGGGGAGCCCCTGGCCCCCAAGCCCGGGCCCTCCTCCCCCGCCCCCTCGGGCATGCCCGAGCTGGATGGGCTTTGCCGGCAGCAGAGCTCAGCGGGCCGGGACAAGGAACTGCTCAACCACCAGAGGGACGGCCGCTTGGAAGGACGCCTGGGGCCGGACAGTGACAGCAGCAAACAGCGTGAGTGATGTCAGCCTCGCCACCTCGCTGTTCAGGACAGGAAAGGTCACACTTGCTCACCAACCCAAGAGTAATCCCTGAGCACAGAGCTGAGAGTAGGCCTTGAGCACAGCCAGGCATGGCCAAATCCTCTTCCCCCCCCCCCCCACTCTGCAAAAAAAAAAGACCCAAAAACCAGAAGAGTCTGGTGTTGTGGCTCATTGTAGAGCACAAGCTCTGTGCATGGGGCACCTCAGTTCGATTCCTGACACCATAAAGAAGGGGAAAGTTGGGGACTGGAGCGATAGCACAGCAGGGAGGGCATTTGCCTTGCACACGGCCAACCCGGGTTCGATTCCCAGCATCCCATCGGGTCCCCTGAGCACCGCCAGGACTAATTCCTAAGTGTCTGAGCCAGGAGTAACCCCTGAGCATCGCCGGGTGTTCCCCAAAAAGAAAAAAAGAAAAAGAAAAAGAAAGGGAAAGTGTCGGCCGGGGAGAGGCTGGCCACAGGCTGTGCCCACCTGAGGCTCAGATAAACCCCAGCTCCACCTCTCCCAAGCACCGAGCCCGCAGCACCCCCCAAACCAAGGAATAAATAAAAGTAAGTCCAAGTCACAGCGGAGGAAGAACAGTGTTTCAGCAGCACAGGGTTTGTTTGCTGGGAAAATGGAGCCTGAGCCTTAAGTGAATCCATGCAATGTAAAAACAACCCTGTTGTTAGGGGCTGGCCTTGCACGTGGTCCACCCAGGTCCAATCCCCGGCACCCGCAGGGTTCCCTGAGGCCTTCCAGGACTGAGCCCTGAGCATTGCTGGGTGTGGTCCCCCCCCGCTAAAAAATTGTTTTGTAATTCTGTAATAAGCCTTTGTTGTTCAGGGAACCCTTAGCACGGGGATGCCTGCACTGTGATTTGTGTCCAGTAAGCCCCGTTCGAGTGTGAGCCCTGGTATGGCACGCCCGTGTCTGCCCTCTCTTTTGCTCCCAGGCACAATCTGATGCCCTGCCTGCCTCGTGCCAGGAGCTCTCCCGTTCATGCCCGCCCCGGCCCCGGGTAGCCCGCCCCGCCCGCCTGTTGCAGCGAGGGCCTCCTGCTTGCACCCCTTGTGTTAGCCCTGAGCCTGTGGGAGGTTCGTCAGGACTCCAGGGCCCGGCCCACACAGCTGCAGGGACAGCCTCTGCCGCTTTCTCCCCCACAGCCCTGTGGGGCATCTAATCTCCCACAGCGGCCCCGGTTCTGCCCAGAGTGGACTGAGTCTTGTTTCTCCGCAGGATCGCCCAGGATGCGGCAGAGACCCCCTCCCCGCCGGGACATGACCATCGTGAGTGCAGCTCCCGGGACCACCCCGAACCCCTCCTCAGCCAGGCCCCCTCACACCCACCTCAACCAGGCCCCTCACACCCACCTCAGCTGGGCCCCTTCAAACCCACCTCAGCAGGGCCCTCTCACCCCCACCTCAGCTGTGCCCCCTCACCCCACCTCAGCTGGACCCCCCTCACACCCACCTCAACTAGGCCCGTCCCACCTACCTCAGTGGTGCCCCCTCACCCCCACTGCGGCTCAGAGCCCTCTTCTCTACCTCAACTGGCCACTTCACCCTCACCTCACTCTTTCCAAGGATGCTGTGTCCTCAGGGCTGGAGAAAAAAATCCAGTGGGCAGGGTGCTTACCTGGCATGCAGTTCGCATGGACTGGATTCCCGGGTCCCTCTAGGGTCCCTCGAGCCCGCCAGGAGTGATCCCTGAGCGCCCAGAAAATGTCCAAGGCAGCAAGGACTCACTGGCTGGTGCTTGGTGATCCCTGGACCCCACCCCTTCTGTGGGCCTTATCCCAGTTTCCTCAAAGAAGGGGCTTCGAAACCCGAGTGGGATGAGGCACTGGGTGTGTTCGGGGTACGCTTCTGATATTTGACTTTCCTGCCCCCATTCAGAGTTCGCGGGTAGGGGCCAGGAGCCAGAGAGCTAGTAGAGTCAGGAAGGTGCTTGCTTTGCATGCATCTGATGCGGGTTCCAACCCCGGCATCCCGTGTGGTCCCCCAAGCCCCACCAGGAATGATCCCTGAGTGCAGAGTCAGGAGTGAGCCCTGAGCACCACCGGGTGTGGCCCCCAAACCAAAATAAAATACAGGACAGTTGGGGAGGGAGAGACAGTACAGCAGGTAAGGCGCTTGTCGTACAAGCCTGACCCAGTTCCAATCCCGGCATCCCATATGGTTCCGCCAGCACCAGCAGGAGTGAATCCTGGGCTCACAGCCAGGAATACGTAGTCCCTGAGCATCATCCAGTGCACCCCAAAAACGAAAAAAGAATCCCGGCCCCCATCCCTTTAGCACCCAGCCCCCCTGCCCCCCCGCTCAGCCGTGTGGCTGTGCCCTCGGACCCCACTCAGCTCTGTCTCCTTGCCCAGCCTCGAGGCCTGAACCTGCCCAAGCCGCCTGTGCCACCGCAGGTGGAGGAGGAATACTACACCATTGCCGAGTTCCAGACCACCATCCCCGACGGCATCAGCTTCCAGGCCGGCCTGAAGGTGGAGGTGAGTGCCCGGGCTCCCGCACCAACCCAGGAGCTTGGGATTGGCAGCAGTTTCTTGCTCACAGGAACTGTCAGGGAAGGTGGGGCGTCCCCCCACACCTGACAGCCTTCCTGTCACCAGCACCCCCTCCAGGTGGTCTCCTTGGTTCCACCCAGCGAACCTCCTGGATTCCTCCTCGTGGTTCGGAATTGCCAGTAGGATTTGCAGTGATGGGGTGTGTTCTGTGGGTTTAAGGGTCGTTGAAGCAAAATGCATCCCGGGGCCAGAGCCATGGGACAGTGGGGGGACATTTGCCTTGCGGTCAGCCCAGGTTCCATCTCCGGCATCCTGTAGATCCCCTTAGCTCTGCCAGGAGTGATTCCCAAGTGCAGAGCCAGGGGTAACCCCTGAGCATCACTCAAGACAAAAACAAATATTAACTCCCGATTTTCACTCTGGCAGAGATGGCCGGTGTGGTCACTCAGTGGCTGAACACCTTCCGTGTGTGCGAGGCCCCAGGTCTGACTTCCGACACTGCAGAGTAGTAACAGAGGCAGGGACTTCTGTCCCTCCCCTTCCTGCCACTTGACTCCTCTCTCATGTTTCCCACCTTCGGCTGTTTCTGCTCCCAGCTTGGAGGATTTTACCTCTCGGGTTTGCCCTCTCACTTCGGTCTACTGCTTCCTTGCTTTCCTCTCGGGTCTTTCGGTGTTCAATGTTGTGTTCTTGTTCGGGGGTATCTATTCTTTCCTGAATCAGCTGCCCTGTGTCTCTCTCTCCAGGAGACACATGTTGGTGCAGTTGACACCCTGCTGGTAGTTGTTCTTACTTCCTCCCTGATAAGTCACTTGCCCTGGAATTGGTGCCGTGCCCATCGTTCTCCTGGTGTCAGGGCTTCCCTGGGGCCTCTGCAGTGCGGGCGGCGGCACAGCCCACTTGAGAAGTGACCCCGGTCGGCCTCCATGGGGACAGCTCATGTAGGGGTGCCCCCGGACCAGAGCTTTGCACACCGGAGAGTGTTTCTTTTCTGACACACGCTCCCACGCTCATTCTCCTGTGTGAGCAGTTGCCTTCCAGTCCCGCCTGTCCCGCGAGCCGACACTTCATGCAGCCTGGCTGCCCCTGCTGTTGTCCTTGGTCGTCCACCCCACACCGACCTGAGATACGTACATACTCTAGGCCTGGAGTATGTGCGCACACACGCACACACACTCCTGAGAGTCCTTTAGGCCTAGAGTAAGTACACATGCACACACATGCGCACACACACACACACACACACACATACACACCTGAAAGTCCTTTAGGCCCAGAGTATGTGCACATGCGCGCACATACACACACACACACACACACACACACACATACACACCTGAAAGTCCTTGAGGCCCAGAGTATGTGCACACATGCATACACACACACATACACATACACACACATACACCTGAGAGTCCTTTAGACCTAGAGTATGTACACACACACACTAGTCCTTTAGGCATAGAGTGTACACTCACGCACGCTCACACACACACACACACACACACACATCTTTTATAGCAGAGCCCTCTACACTCATGTACACAAACACACACATTGAACAGCAGAGCCCTCAGCACACATGCACACATACACACATACACACACACCCCTTGTACAGCAGAGCCCTCTGCAGACACACACACACACACACAGAGAATGGAGCCCTCTGCTGCCATCCTGGCCCACAGCCCCTTTCTGCCTCTTTTTCCCACGGGTGAGCCTCACCGTGTCCTTTGAGCCCCTTCTCCCCTCCATCTCCAGGGCTTCCCTTTGTCTTCACGCCCTGGTTCCCGTGCGCTGGTTGCCCAGACTGAGAACTGCCGTTCGCTCCATCTCGTCTGGAATCCAAAAGTCCGACTGGGTTTTAAAAGTCCTCCAAGCGCCTCCCCCAGACGTCTAAAAAAAACCTGTCAAACTTCCTTCTTCTTTAAGACACTGCCTGTCCCCCGTTTCATACAAGCACACCTCATTGTTCGAGCTTGCTGGCTAACTGGACATGCGCTGGTAAACACCACCACTCCCTGGTTCGGAATGTTCCAGAATCTGCCAAGGGTAGACAGTGCAGACAGAGTACAGGCCAGTGCACGGGACAGATGGGAAGCAAGGAGCAGACGGGTGCACGGGACAGACAATGCATGGGGGTTGAGGACTGAGTCTCCGTGGCATTAGGCAGTTGGCAGACCCCTGGGTTTTCTGGAGGTACTGAGTCTCCCTGGGGGATACCCTCACATTGTTTCTGGCTTTCCTACCCAGGTAACTTCGCAGGAGACACTTAACTAATTTCTTTTATTTCTCCGTGAAGCCTGCCTAGCTTCAGTGCTCAGAGCTTAGACTGGTCCTACACTCGGGTCACTCCTGATGGGACTTGGGGGACCGTATGTGGTGCTAGGGATTGAAGCTGGGTCGGCCGCCTACACTGCAGGAACTCTACATGCTGTATTGTTGCTTCAGACTTTGCTTTAAGGGTACTTTCACACCTCTTAAAAACATATGGTCCCATGGGACTGGAATGATAGCACAGCGGGTAGGTCGTTTGCCTTGCACGTGGCCAACCCGGGTTCGATTCCCAGCATCCCATATGGTCCCCTGAGCATCGCCAGGGGTAATTCCTGAGTGCAGAACCAGGAGTGACCCCTGAGCATCACCAGGTGTGACCCAAAAAGCCAAAACAAACAAACAAACAAAAAAACCATATGGTCCCAAAAGGTTACTCCACATGAGCTGGGGGAGAAGGCAGCTGGGATAGAGCAGGGATGGAGGGATCACTAAGTCAGTGATGGTTGGAGGGATCGCTCGGGATGGGAGACGTGTGCTGGAAGTAGATAAAGGACCCAGTGGATGGCCTCTCAGTATCTGTATTGCAAACCATAACGCCCAAAAGGAGAGAGAGAATAAGAAGGAAGTTGTCTTCCATAGAGGCAGAGGGTGGGGTGGGGGTGGCGGGAGGGATCACGGACACGGACGGACACGGTCCTCCCATTGTTCATCGATTTGCTCGAGCGGGCCCAGTAACATCTCCATCGTGAGATTTGTTGTTACTGTGTCTGGCATATCGAATACGTCACGGGGAGCTTGCCAGGCTCTGCCGTGCGGGCGAGATACTCTCGGTAGCTTGCCGGGCTCTCCGAGAGGGGCGGAGGAATCGAACTCGGGTCGGCCATGTTGGCTGCTTGTAAGGCAAATGCCCTACCGCTGTGCTATCGCTCCAACCCATACCGGATACTGGGATACTGGGGACATTGGTGGTAGGAAAGATACACTGGTGGAGGGATGGGTGTTTGATCGTCGTAAGACTGAAACTCAATCGTGAAAGCTTTGAAACTGTATCCCACAGTGATTCATTTATAAATAAATATATGGTCCCACCCAAAGCCCCCAGCAGAGTTCCACAGTCCCTGTGTCCCTCCGCACAGACCATTGGCCTTGGGGTCCCCAGAGCGGCCCCGCTGGAAGCTTCTCCCCTCTGGGAACCTCCCTTCCGTGGTCAGCATCCAAGGGCTTGTTGGTTTGGCCTCGGCTGTTCGCTGGTTTGGCCCCTGTCCATCCCACGTATGCGTGAGATCATCTGGCATTCGCCTCCTTCCTCCTGACTTATTTCACTTCGCATAACGCCCTCCAGTTCCATCCGAGCTGCAGCCAAGGCAGGAACCTGGGACTGCTCAGCTCGGCCCTCCTCGGCCAGCTCTCTGCCTTGTGCTGGGCGTGTCGCCGCCTCTGCAGCCCCCTCTCTGTGCCTGGACTGCTGGGTCGTTCCCGGCTCCTGCCTGTCGTCAAAGGCAGTGCGGCGGCCGTAGGTGTGCAGGAATCTTCAGATTCGGAGTGTGCGGACCATGGAGGGCTTGGGGTGCAGTTACTGCATCGCTCGGGAGGAGGTCTGAATCACTTGCGAACGCTCTGGAATGCAGGACTGCTGAGCCGGGCCCCCCACCCTTGCGGAAGGCAGGCTTCCTCCCTGCCGCCCCCACCACCCACTGCTGTTTCTGGCTGACTTGGTAGAATATTCTCGTAGCTGACGCTGGCCTCACACTGTGCTTTGGGTTTGTCTCCCCGGGAGCGGGGATGATGCCCATCCTTTGCTCATCAGCGTCTGCTGGGAAGCCCTACCCTTCTCCGCACTTTGGGATGGGTTTGTTTCTTGTGGACCTCTGCGACCTTGGGGATCAGCCTTTGTGCGCTGCTGGGGTGCTCGTGTTCATGGGGGCTGGCTTTCCTGGGGCTGGCAGCCAGCTTCCCTGTGTCTGTGTTTTGCGTTCTGAACTCCTCTGATAAGGATCCCAGTCGTGTGAGGCTCAGAGATGGGCGGCCAGAGGTCAGGAAATCAGTCTCCCCGCTTGGGGGCACGGCCTGATTTGGCAGCGTCTCATGGTCCAGCAACAACCTACTCCTTTCCCTCTCCTTCCTCTGTCACCTCTGCTTTCTCTGTCAACTCTCAAAGCCACGGTCTGTCCTCTGGGCTGTGTCGGGGCTGCTTGGGAGGAATCCCGAGTGAGGAAGGAACATACCCCGTGTGAGGGGTCCTGACTCAAGGAAGTTCCCCAGGAAGATCCCCCATGGGTGATCCACCAGAGACGATCTAGCCTGGGTGATCCATCAAGGCGGAGCCATCATGGGTGATCCACCAGCAGTAGTGATCCACTAGGGATGATTCTTCGTGGGTGTTCCATTGCGGTGATCCACCAGACACAGCCCAATAAGGGTGATCCATCGTGGTGATCCTCTAGGGACGATTCATCATGAGTGATCCATGACGGTGATCCACCAGGCACTGTTCACTCTGGGTGATCCACCAGCTGCAGCCCAATAAGGGTGATCCATGACGGTGATCCACCAGGCACTGTTCACTCTGGGTGATCCACTGTGTGACCTGCCAGGGATAACCCATTGATTAGGGGTAATCCACCAGGGACGATCCAGTATGGGGCCCCACCAGGGTTACTCTGCCATGGGTGCTGCCTGGAATGCAACATCCCTGCCCATAGACCCCCCTCCCCATGCCACACGTGCTAGCATGGCCCCCAGAGCCTGTCCTGGACCCACTGGTGGTCCTGGCATCATGCCTACTAGTGCTCCTTCCTCCTGTTCTCCCCCAGGTGATCGAGAAGAACTTGAGTGGCTGGTGGTACATTCAGATTGAGGACAAGGAGGGCTGGGCCCCTGCCACCTTCATCGACAAGTACAAGAAGACCAGCAGTGCCTCCAGGCCCAACTTCCTGGCTCCCCTGCCCCCTGAAGTAACCCAGCTCCGTCTGGGGGAGGCGGCTGCAGCGGACCTCCTGGGCAGCGAAGCCACGGGCCCCTCCCGGCCCCTGCCCGATGCCCCCCATGGTGCTGCGGAGCCCGGGCTGCTGTGGACCAAAGACTGGAAGGGCGGGAAGGAGGGTCCGCGGAAGGTGTCTGTGGACATGTTCTCGTGCGCCGGCTACGAGGAGATCTCGGACCCCGACCTGGAGGAGAAGCCCAGCCTCCCGCCCCGGAAGGAGTCCATCATCAAGTCAGAGGGGGGACAGCTCCGGGCCGCCTCGCCCAAGCCCGGCATGATCCTGCCGCTGATTCCCGCCAAGCTCGTAAGCCCGGCCCAGGACAGCCGGAGGCCTGAGCCCAAAGTGGACAGGGCCAAGATGCTGCAGCTGAGGAACGAGAGAGGGCTGGAGTGTGGCCACAAGGTGCTGGCCAAGGAAGTGAAGAAGCCCCACCTCCGGCCCGTGACCAAGTGCAAAGCCGACCCCCCGGAGGAGAAACCGGAGGCCGCCCCCCCGAACCCCTTCTTAAAGTCCAAACCTCAGGTAAGGCCCAAGCCTGCACCGAGCCCCAGAGCCGAGCCCCTTCCGGGCGAAGACCCGGTGGACATCTGCAACCTCAGGAGCAAGCTCCGGCCGGCCAAGGCCCCGGAGAGACCCCCGCTGGACGGGGACAGCAGCCCCCAGGCTCCTGGGGGCCCGGACGGAGCCCCCAGCCGTAGCCTCGCCCCCGCTGAGGGGCCTGGTCGCCCGCAGGACAGGACGGCCAGACCAGACGGGCTCGGACCCAGGGAGGGGCCCTGCCGAGTCCCCCCCAGGCCGGCCAAGACTGCAGATCCGCTGCCCAAGAACGTGCCTGTCCCTCTCCAGGAGGCGGCCCAGCAGCGGCCGGTGGTGCTGCCCCGGCGACCACCACCCCCCAAGAAAACCTCGTCGTCATCGTCCAGGCCCCTGGCGGAGGTCAGGGGGCCACCGCGTGAAGCCAGTGAGGGCAGGCCCCCTCCCACCCTGGGCCCGGGCCCGGGGCGGGCCCTGCTCGTCCCTCCCAAAGCCAAACCTTTCCTCTCCGGCGCTCTGGGGGCCCCCGAGGATCCTCGAGGCAGAAGTGGCCCAGGGCCCCGGGTGCCGGGCCTGCTGGGGGACAGCAGGGAGAGGCTGCCCACGGGCCCTGTCCCCAGCCTCGACGGCCCGAAGGACTCTGTGTACGTGGCCGTGGCCGACTTCGACGGTGACGAGGACGCCAGCAGCTTCCAGGAGGGCACCGTGTTCCAGGTCCGGGAGAAGAACGGCAGTGGCTGGTGGTTCTGCCAGGTCCTGAGCGGGGCGCCCTCCTGGGAAGGGTGGGTGCCCTCCAACTATCTCAGGAAGAAGCCCTAGCCCCCGGCCTCGCCCCGCCCGGCCCTGCTGGCTGACCCCCATATTTAAGGCACCTCTAATATACCAACCTCCAACGCAGCTGCGCAGGAAGGAAGATTATTTTTGGGGGTGGGGGGCAAGTCCTGTGGCTTCTTCCCTCCAGGGTGGAGTGTGACACCCGCTTCCCCCCACCCAGGGCATCCCCTGGAGGCCCAGAGGCCACTGCGTCCCCATGCCTTCCCTTTGTGCCCATTCCTACCCCCCAATCACCTGGACTCTGCAGGGCCACCGGGCACCAGACCGCCACACCCAGAGAACCGGCTTAAACCGGCAGACCAAATCCAGCCTCGTCCCCGATGCCCAGCTCAGCTGCCCAGAGGCCTCCGGGCCCCGAGACTGTCTGCGTGGTGTCCCCAATGCCTGGCACTGCAGACGCCCCCCTTCCTGGAGTGTCTGGGGCCAGCCCCCAGGAGGACCTCTCAGTGGCCGCTAGATAACGAACAACCCCTCTGGGGGTGGACATGGAGGTCCCCCTCCGCCTTCCTGTCAAGGGACCCTACGGGCCGGCACCCTGCGCCAGTTGCACTTTCCTGGGACTTGGAGACAGAAGCCCCGTCTACACAGCCCTTGGCCGGTGGGGACCAGAGTCTGCTCGCAGGTGCCGTATTTGGAGAGTCAGAGTGTGGCGTGGGACCCCTGCTGCACAGCCGGTCCTGACTTGACCCCCTGGAATGCACTGGCTACGACAAGGCTGCCCTGTGCCCCCCAGAAGGGCAGAGCAGCGGGCAGGGGAAGGAGGAGCCCCTGGCTGGTGGCTTCCTCACAGGGTGGCGAGGGGTGTTGGCCGCTGCCCCCATACCCCGCTGCCTGGAGGGCAGGGGGTAGCCCGTGCCCCCCTCTTGGTGCTGGTGCTCCCTGTGGCAGGGAGTGTTGGGGGGGGTGATTCTGGGCACGGTGGAGTCACTCCCTGCGGCTGTCCTCTGCCCCTCAGCCCTGCCCGCAGAGGGGCGCCCCGGAGCCCAGAGAGACAGCTCCTGGCAGAACTCGTGTCAGGAACCAGGGGTGCAAGGGTTGAGCCCCCCTGTTCCCTTTTGTGGGATGCAGGCTGTCGCCTGACCGGCCTCAGGAGTCCCAGTGTCCCTGTGTCTGCCTCTGTCTGGGAACCCGGGGCCACTTTCCCGGGGTCCCCCTCTGCCCGTCTGCAGTGCCAAAGGCTGGTGTGGCATCCATTCCTCGGAGTCCCAGTCGCCTGCTTTCCTTCCTCCGCCTAGAAATCTTGCTTCCCCTTCTAGGGCAGCGCCCTGGGGTGCCCGGGTGGCTCAGAACCTGGGAGGGGAAGGTGGCTGTCGTGATGGAGGCTTGGAGCAGTGCTGGGAGGACCCCACTCCTCCTCACGTCATATCCTGAGGCTTTTCGGTGTTCGGTTGGTTTAGGGTCAGACCCAGTGGTTCTGGGTCAGGGGATGTCACTCCTGGCTCGGTACTAGGGGCACCCCCTGCCCCCCCCCCGTGCCAAGGATCAAGCCTGGGGCCCCCCACTCAGACTCCAGCCTCTTGGCCATTTCGGCGGAGTCCTCAGGCTTTGTGTGTATTTTTGCTGTTGTTTTGCTTGTTTGGGGTTTGGGGACACAACCCGGCAGTGCTCAGGGGCCACTCCCGACTCGGTGCGGGGGACGAAGCCTGGGTATCCTGCTCACACAGACCCCTCCTGGGACCCTCCTGAGGTCTCGCCCATAGGGCTTGGGGTGGGGGCTGGGAACACTTAACCCTCTTTAGAACACAAACCCGCTTCCTTTTCTAACCCTTTTCTAATTCCTTTTTTGTTTTTATGGGGGGGGGGGGCACACCTGGCCATGCTCAGGGCTCACTCCTGGCCCTGTGCTCAGGGATCAACTCCTGGTGGGCTCAGGAAACCTTGGTTGACTTTGGGCAGGGGCAAGTGCCCTCCCTGCTGCCCTGTCACTCTGGCCCCTGGCTGACCCTTTTCGAGCCTCTTTCCAACAGCTGCTCTGTGCCGTGCATGGGGCACGTTGGAGGGTGCACGGCCCCAGGTCTGACTGCCGAGGGTCGGGGGTGTTGGTTGTGGAACCCATGGTTCTTGGTGTCTGGGCCTTCCTGTCCCCTGATGAGGTAGACCTCTAACCCTTCCTTGGACCCACCCCGGGTCCTCTGCTGGAACATTCCAGGCAGCAACCCTAGCGGTCTGGGTGGCCCAATGGGCTGTGCACAGGCTTAACCATGCAGGAGACCCCCAGTTCGATCCCCGGCCCTACAGGGTACTCCCCACCCCAACACTGCCAGGTGTGCCCCCCTGCAAATACCCATAGATTGATAAGACACCCTTGGCAGGGACAGACACCTGCCCTAGCCATCAGAACCGTGAGGCTTGGGGCGCGCGTCTCTTGGTGGGACTTAGCAAGGCCCCTTGCGTGCCGTGACGGCTGCAGGCCAGCTGCGGGGTTGTCCTCGCCCTGGCCACTACCCCGCAGTCTGGGGAAAACCCCACTCCAAAGCCCCCGCACCGTGTCTTAGGCGAGGCAGGGGGGAGTGATGGGCGGCCGGCAGCCCCTGCCCACCTCAGGCCCTGTCCCGATCCCCAAATTCCTGACTCTCCCGTCCAGACCAGGCTGGCCCGTCGCTTGTCCCCTCCGTCCCCTGCAAAACCCCGCTGATGGTGCTGAGCCATGGTCCAGCAGGGGCGGCGCTTGCCTTGTGTGCCGCTGACCCAGGTTCCATCCAGACCCTGCTAGGAGTGACTCCCGAGCACCACCAGGGGTGACCTCAAAACCAAATGGGAACCCCACAGGCCCCCGACTTCATCCCTGCAATCGCCGGCACTGCTGGCTCTGACCCCTGTTTAAAAGCAAACGGGAACAGGAAACCGACCGGCCGAGCCCTGGCGCGCTCTTGACGAGGTCTCGCAGGTGCCAGGTTGCTGGTTTGGAAGGAGAGTCGGGTCGGGACCGGGCCCCTGGCGCTGGGGGTGGGGGAGAAACAGGTCGTTACTCCCCTGCACACACCTCCCCAGGGAGGCCACGTTGACACCGGAAGCAGAAGGTGGCCACGAGGTGCTGGCCTTGCAGAGTGCCTGACTGAAGGTTGGGATTGGCCGCTGCCCCCCCGGAGGTCTCGTCCCCCCCCGGCTGGGCTGGTGAGGGGGGCATCGTCCAGGGCGTTTGCTGCCAGCAGCCATCTGTGACCAGAGACCAAAGATTTCCTCGAATCAGCCCGTGTGGCCTGAGGGAGGAGAGGGGGGTAGGGGAGGATGGGGGGGATCCTTGTGTGGCCAGGGAGGACCCCGGAGCTGCGGTGAGAAGCCTTCAGCTCGGGGTGAGGCCTCATTTCTGGGGTGCCCTCCCGTCTCTCCTCTGTCCTCTGTTGGAAGGAGGCCGGACCAGAGGTTCAACCTCTGTTGTTCTGGAAGGGGTCTCGGCTTCCAGGGACAAAAGAAAGCCCCCTCCCCCCTTTTGTTCCCGGAATAGCAGTCTCACCAGAGGATATGTCCGCCCCCTCAAGCCCCTTTTCCCCCCTCCCAGCCCACCCCCCTGTGCCTGCCTATCGGGACCTTGTCCTTGTTAACTGCATCCTCCCGCTGATGGGACAAGACAGTGGGCACCTTTTCTCTGCCCTACCCTCCCTGTTCTGGGCAGGCCCCTTGCCCCCGCGACAGCCCTGGCTGCTTGCTCGGCCAGCCTGGTTTCCCGGGAGCTGGGCGGCGTGGGGCGGGACCATTAGGTGTAGCATGTATAGGACTATGTACTTGCCCCTTAGACATTTTCTTTCTTTTTTTTTTTTTTAATAAAAAATGTGCTTGACTGGTTTCAAGCCTCACGGCGAAGCTGCAGTCTCGGTGGGTTTTCTTGGTGCCGTTTTTCTTTCTTTTGTATCACATTGATGCTTGCTTGACACAAAACTGTTTCAGAGGCCCAGTTTCCCGGGTCTCCCGGAAGGCAAGGTAACCACACTGCCCCCACCTCCGAAATACCCAACACCCCCGCACCAGAGTCTGACCAGTTCCTTCCCCGCCGCTGTCCTCCCTGCCTCACACACCCCCTCCCCCCCACCCACCCCCCACCCCCGGTGACCCAGCTTTGCTGGTCAGGGTCCAAGAGTTTGTTCCCGTTCTGTTCGGTCTGTCCCCTGCTCTGCAGCTAAGTTCCTGAGTACGTGAGATGCCCCAGGCTGTCTTCGTCCTGCTGCCTTATTCACTGACAGGCTATGCACGTGGAAGTCACAGGCCAGCTTCCATCTTAGAGTTAGGCAGCAGTGTGTGTGTGTGTGTGTTAAAAGACCACAGCCGTTTGAGGTGGCAAGAGAGTTCGGAGCCACCCCTGGCTCTGCTCAGGAGTGACCCCTGGTGGTGTTTAGAGGATCTGGACTGGGGTCAGCTGCATGCACTCCTGACCCCCTGGACTCTCCAGCCCTAGCCCATGTCTTTGTCCACTCAGATCACTGTGTGCACTCTTGGCCCTGGCCACTGGCATGATGGCCTAGGGGCGCATTATGGATTCTGTCTGGCCAGAGGATAGCTTCCTTAATGACTGGCTAGCTGCACCCCCCACCCCTCAGATTCTCGAGTCTGGACCTAAAGATGAGAAATGTCTCATGTATGAAGACACGTGACTTTCACTCCAAGGGGCCCAGATGTAGGCTGGGGTGCAGCTGTGACCTGGCTCCAGCACCCCGAAAATCAGCCGGGAGCTGCCTTCCCTGAGGGCAGGAGAAGGTAAAACCAGCCCCATGCATGGGGACTAACTCTCCTTGGCCCCCCCGTGTGTATGTTTGAGAGTGAGTGTGTGTATGTGTGTCTGTATGTCTGTCTGTCTGTCTATGTTTGCTTTGGGTTCACTCCTGCCTGAACTTATTCCTGGTGAGGTTCAGGGACCTGCCGGGTTTGAATCCAGGTTGGCAAGGCTAATGCCCTACTCTCTAGCCTCAAAGAAAATAATTTAAAACAGTCATTTTCAACTTTTCCTCAGCCAGTTGAAGAGCACTGGTTTATTTATTGATTTATTTTTTGCTTTTTGGGTCACACCTGGCGATGCACAGGGGTTCCTCCTGGCTCTGCACTCAGGAGTTACTCCTGGCTGTGCTCAGGGGCCCATATGGGA